ACATTCGCACTTGACTGTAGGTGCTTTATAAATTAACCTTTCTTTCTTCTTTTCCTTTGCTTTTGGTGGCTCCGGCCATTGATTCTTAGGACCGTAGAGCCACTCATTGAAACGACACTTCGCAAATCCATAACGCTACAAGAGAATACATTAGTACACGCACACATATAGAGCTAAATATTTAAACAGATACACTTTTCACTTACTTCGTGTTTGTTCGGACACACAAACTCCAACATATTCTCAGGGTTTATCACAGCTCGATCTCCGCATTCGCACATAGAAGGTTCCTCGAGTCGTCTAACTGCGGCTAGATGCTTCTCCTTAGCCGTCGTTGGCGGGAGGTTAGGGGGGGTGAAACCCACCGCTGGAAGTGCTCACGTGGATGTCTCCCTCTACACCAATCGTCGAAAAGGAGGTATCTAGGATCAAACTTGTCTGCACCGTCGATCCACTGAAAGAAAAAACACCTCTCTTGGTCCTACACAATAAGTTTCCAACAAAATATTAGTAGCCTATTTACACAAATAAAGACAAAAAGATAGTAAAAACAATTACTTACATTAAAACGACTGCATATGTAGAAGTAACGCGCCGCTGTGTCTGGATGTCTCGATTAAAATACGTCGACCAGGGAACCACAGTCACAGTTAGGGACAGGGAGGTCAGGAGGGACAGGGGCATCTTTGCTAGACGCGTCGTGGTATAATTCTCGAGGACGACCCCGTTTTCGCCAAAACTCATCCCGATACATTTTTTACATCTAACAAAACAGTTGAAATTTAACAAACAAAAATTAAAACATCATAAATTAATGTCAATGAGAACCATTTGCATTACAACAAATAAAATATAACATACACTTTGGTGCAAACTCTATCTTAGATGCAAACATGAAAACTATATAAAAACTATACTTTGGTCAGTAAAAAATAAAATTTGATACATCATCATTTTTGTCCATATATTTATTCACATATAAAAGTTGGGATGCAAACTCAAACAAGTAAAATACTTGGTAATCATAATTCTAACTGGCCAATTAACCTTAACATTGACAATCCTAATCATAATTCTTCGATCCAACGTTCTAACGAACTCATATTTTCCTCTATACCCTAACTACTCATTCAAATCATTCGATCCACCGTGAAGGCCGAGGAGGAGCTTCATTACCTTGACAAGGCCGAGGAGGAGCTTCGGAAAGATAGGGAGGGGAACGACAAGGGAGGGAAATTCGGCGGCCGGCCGAGGGGAAGCCGGGAGGCAATGGCGCGGCGGCGGAGGCTAGGCGGCACGGAGGCGGCTGCTGTGCGGCGCGGAGTGAAACAGAGAGGGAGGAAAGGGACCGGGCCGTGGGCCTCTATTTGGCTCTGCCGCGCCATGATGCGTGGCGCGTCACAGCCGTGTCCTGATCGGTGGCGTGGTAGAGCTGAGCCACGTCACGGGTCAGCGGCCCTAATTTCTGCCACGTACGCTCCCCTGCCGTGCCGACATGCATGGCGCGGCAACTTGAATTCGCCGCACCGTGCGAATAGGCGCGGCAAAGAGTGTTAGATTTGAAAAAAAAATAAATAAACAATGTTAGTTTTAAAAATAGTTTAAAAAGGTGTTAAAAAAAATTCCCTGCATCGAAGCATGCACAAGGGCAGCACCGACGAGGGCCCTGCCTGTCGGCCACCGGCCGCCGGCTACAAGCCTCCACCATGCCGACGATGCACCTCCACCACGACTGTGTTGCACTGTCGCAGTATGCACAGGCACCGATTCAGTAGGCAGTCAACGACTTCCAGTTCTAGTGACCTTTTCCGAATCACTATCTAGTTTTGTTCGTTAGTTCTTGACCTTTTGGTTGATTTTCCTTGTTCTCTCTCATGACCTAGTGTTATCTGTTCCCATCACTTTTCCCAGACGCGAGTAGATGGCACGACCCAACGAATTCAAGCAGTACTAGTGCCACTGTGCTAGTACTTTGAGGGTGTTTGGTTCCACGCTTTACCACGCCGTGCATGTGGCTGCCACAAACGCTAGGCTGTTGTTTGGTTTGAGACTAAAGCTGCGCCGCTGCGGCACGCCACAAGATTCCAACCGTCGTGGGTGATGCTAACTATACGACTAAACATAAATTAATTATAAAACTAATGACATATGAGTAAACTAATTAACGAGACAAATCTATTAAGTCTAATTAATCTATAATTAGTAAATGTTTACTGTAGCACCTCATTGTCAAATCATAGACTAGTTAGACTTAATAGATTCGTCTCGCAAATTAACCTTAATCTATGTAATTAGTTTTATAATTAGTCTATGCTTAATACTCCTAATTGATATCAAAAATTCGATGCGGCATTGCTAAACTTTTTGCCCAGAGAAAACAAACACAGCCAGCATGGCAGACAACAGGCTCAATGCGGCTCCTACATTACTTCTATGTTTTTATGTGTGATTTATTTTTCGAAAGATCTTATGTGTGATTTATGGTCTTTATTACTTAGGGAATTAGTGAATGGAGATGCTCGGCTTTCTTTTCACTGATGGGAAAACTGAAAAAGAATCAAACACCAATATTGCAGGCAATTTCAATGCACTTTTTTGCCGCTATATACTATCGTTTCCAGAACTCGGATTCTAAAAAAAAAAGAGATATGCCTTATATTTATTTATTTAAAAAACACTGAAAAACATATACCCTTGAACGACAGTACTAAGATGACTGATTTGCCCTTATTCAAAAATAAAAAATAAAATATAAAATAAAAAATAGATCTTGCTCTCACATATTTCGGTACTGGCTTCACCTAATTTGGTATTATCTCCATCTATTTGGTACCTCCATGTAAGGGACCGTGACGTCGAAGAGGGATGATGAATTAGGCAACTTAAAATTCTACTTCTCACTAAGACCTCTAATTTCACCTGGTCAAAACCTATGCAGGAAAGTAAACTATCTAAATATGCAACTACGATTTTGGTAGTGTGTTACTATCTCAACCGCAAAAATAAGTTATGCACTCTAGGTTCCAAGCCTATCAACTAGCCTATCACTAAGCTAGAAAAGTAAAACACAAACCAAGATTGTAATGTAAATGCGGAAGCTAAAGACTAAAGTAGAGATATGCAAACTCCCGTCAATGACTCCGGTATTTTTACCGAGGTGTCGAGAAGCGCGCAAACTTTCCCCTAGTCCTCATTGGGGCCTCTCGTAAGGAATCCCTCGTAAGGGCCAAGCTCCCGGTCGGGTAACTCCGTGGATAGCCCCGGGCCTTCTCCACACGCAAGTGGGTCTCCGGTGTGCCTTTCGACAAGCCTCTCTCGGACCGTCCCCCGCCGTCTTCACTATCAAGCTTCCGGTGGAACCGCCGCGGGCCTTGTTCCCTTCGATACACGGTGGTGGCCACACCACAAACGCGGTTGGTGTGATCTCGCAAGACTACAAGCCCTCCCCCCGATGTACAACAATGGTGCGCGCAAGCACTGATTGGTAAGAGGTGTGCAAACCTCACTAAACACTAGGCCTAAACCTAGAGCAAGCGCATAAACGGGGGTGTAACTAACCTAAGCGCTTCGCAAAGCACCTACGCTAATCATCGAATGTATCACTAAGCACTATGCAAGTGGAGATCATTAAAGTAGTGTATCAACACCCTTGATATGTTTCATCAGTTCTCCACTCCTCAAATGGCTGGTTGGGGGTCTATTTATAAGTCTCATGTAGAAATTAACTGTTGGGACGTAACCCAGCTTTCTGTCATTGACCGAACGTGCAGGTCGTCCTGATCGTACGCGTCCGATCGTCCCGACCGTTGGCGCTCACTGTTGATCGGACTCTCCGACGAGTCCGGTCGCTTACCATCTGACGCGTTCGGTCGACGTTTCGCCGTTCTGGAACCTCTCTGGACTCGATCGGACGCCACTGCCTGGCGTGTCCGGTCGTCCACAACTGCTGCGTCCGGTCCTCACTGAGTTGTTGCCGCAACGATGAACAGTGAAATCCGTGCGTCTGGTCACTGCCTCGCTCAGAGTTCGGTCGCTGCTGCTGACGCCTGCTGTTGCCGAGTAACTAATCGGACGCGTCCGGTCACCTCTGCCGAGCTCGTTTCTTCGCGATCTTGTGTCCGGCTTGGTTCCCATCTTCGTGATTGGACTTTGCTTGATATCTTGGGTCTTCTCTTGTGCTTCTAGGGTCTTGCTTATGGTGTTGATCATGGGATCATCATGTCGCCTTCGTCCAAGTCACGTCTTGTACCCTATTGAACTACAAAACAATTACTTATAAATTCATCAGTCCAATTTGGTTGTGTTGGTCATCAAACATCAAAATCCAAAATAAATGGGTATAGGGTCCATTTTCCTTACACTCCAGATGCTTTCAGTTGAATACCTCCTATGTTTTCATCGTCCGATCTCTCCCAATCGACGGTCCATGTTTTTTCCAACCATTATAAAATTTTTCAATATCTTTCCGCTCTCTCACAGTTTTTCTATATCTTATGTGCACTCTAAAGAGCAATTCTCATCTTCTATTTTTTGCTAGCGAAAAATCCGGAATAGAAGATGGCTATATTTGGATAACCATTTAGAGAAGTTGCTGGAGGGTAGTTTTTCACCAAAATCTCTTGAAAAAAAGTATAAAGAGTCTCTTGGAGATGTTCTTAAAAACGTGTAAGTTATCTTGAAAATACTTATCCAATAAATTTAAAGGATTCTAATAATAATGTTGTAGAAAAATATAGTGGTCAAAATAAGAAGACTATGTAAAGTAAAATCAAGATTTTTATTTTACAGGAGGGGGAGTACGCCTTTTTCTGTAGCATGATCATGTCAGTGCACAATGATAGTATTATAAAAGAGACCACCAAATTACTAAGAAGGTGACGAATTTTATTACTTATATAATACAAAAGTCTGATGCGTTCTTATGCATCTCTTGATTCATTCATAAAAAGGCTACCACCTAAGTTATCTTCATTATCGTGGTGTATATTACTAGTTTACTACTACAACTCTTTGACCACTTCCTCTGCTTTCTTCGCGTCAACGCTCTGAAAAAGGAAAACAGATTCAGCAATGGCTTCAGTTTCAGTTTGTGTTAACGTGATTGTACAAAGACCTTTGTTTCTTTATTGTGACTTGCATTTTCAACCTTGCGCTTCTATAAGAGGTTGAAGAAATAAATCAGTCAAACTTCTACTGGTCAGAGTAGCACAGAAATTGGAGGTCAAATATAACTAGTAGCTCTTGAAATGGTTATTCTCAGTTAGGCTTGACCATTCAGTTCCCTATCAAAATGGAAATGGAGAGCATGGTAAAATGTTCACAGATAGAGCAAGTAGGATATCAATTTATCTTTTAACTTCCACTCCCTTTCCCTCCCTGCATACCACCAGTGCTAGTATCATGGCACAATTGAAACCAATGAGATTGTGTTTTAGACTGAATTGGTTAATTCTAGTACCGTAAGCATAACTGGGCAGTTAGCGCTATTGTTTAAACATCACACCATAGAGATTTATAAATAAATTGTACACTAGAATGGACCTACAGAAGTGATATGCACTTTCACCTAGAAACAAGTGGCGCACGGAAACTAAACTGCATCAATTCTATGCAACCAAACTAACGGCTCTGCTAGCAGCTAAAGTAGAATGTGCTCAAGAATTAAAAATGCATAGAAAGTCAAAGGACTGAGTTTCCACGTGCTTGACAATTAAGACCAAACATTACTTCAGAAATTTATCCTTTTAGATGCTACTACTCATAGAGAAAAAGTAATAAATAATTTAAATTACCAATAGAGTAAAGTTTAGGAAAAACATAAAATGAAAGAGTTTACCTTTGACACCACATCGGATTCTTTTGCTGTTCGATCGAACCTGTTTGCATAGACCTTTGCGTCCACCTTGTTACGCTCCATCTGAAGCTTTTTCAGATTTGCTTGAAGTAACTTCACCTCCCTAGGGATGAAGAATGGAAAATTGAACTGCATATAATGCTACTACACCAGAATATGACAGGAAAGAAAGGTTTGTGCTCACTTGTTGTTAGGATCCAATTCCAGTGCTTTCAATACATCTGTCTTGGCTAATTCCAGGTCATACAGTTCACCATAAGCTTGTGCTCTCCGATACAAAGCCTTCACATTGCAAGACTCAATTTCTAAAACCTGACAGAAGAAAATTTGTGCCTTGTACCAAACTTCAGCTCCAACCTCCAGGTGATATCAAAGTCATGTTCCACATACCTTTGAACACAAGCTAATTGCTTGGGTAAAATCCTTCAGTTTAAGGCAGCATGCTGCATGGTTTAACCAGCAGGATACTCTCAAAGTTTTAATTAACTTTTCAGGTTCATCTTCAAAATGTCCATCCTCATTAACATAATTAAGGGCCTAAGAACAAAGAAATCAGTCTGCCTCTCTGAAGACAATGGATCCAAAAGTATGAGAAGGAAAAACTTAAACTACCTTGTTATACTTGTTTGCAGCCCTTTGAAACTTCCCGATCTTGAATAAGTCGTTGCCAGCAACTTTTGATTTCTCTGCAGCCTCTAACTTTTCATGGGCACTCATCTCCCATGATTCTTTTTCCTGCCACACCAGAACCCAAAGTGCACAATAAGTAGAGGAAACACAAGACAGATGGAGAAGATGAACTCTAGTTCGGCTAGTCAATACCTTTGTGAAATCCATCAATTCCACTTCATATATCAACGTAGAGCAAGGAGGTACGTTGTCAACTTCCTTTTAACTTCTGTGTGGCCAAATCCATACTCAAATTTCACTGTCACTTTAGCAAGTTCTCACCCTTCACCATTGTTGCCACTGCGCTATCTAATCCAACTGTTACCTGTTCTGCAAGTGAAATACCATAAAAGGAGGAAGTTAAATAAGCCAGTATAATACTAACAGATATCTACATATTAAATAAATATAAAGGCACAAGTACATAATAAAACAACTTTACATAATAGTAACAGATAGCTGAGCCACAATTACCATATCATAGATAGGCAAAAACAACTTCACAAATTATGTGGCTGTATTTCTAGAATCAAGAATTTAAGCGTGAAATGTTGGAAGAACTCAATACTTCTGAGAGGAATAATGAAACAAATACAAAATATATGCTACTGATGTTGGAAAAGATACCATGACCATAGTTCCTGTGATGTTCCTAAATGATTATAATGATTGGAATACTAACTTCACTAAATAGTCAAAATCAGTCACCTTCATCTATGATGAATTCAAAGGGCTCCCCGCCAAAGCCTAGCTTTCAAAGACTGTACCATCCTCGAGGCTGCCAGTATATCTCTACCTAATACTAAAGAAGCAAAATTTCAGCCTAATTTTTCGTCGGGTAAATTTTCGTCTGCCCTCTCAGCCAAAGGTTAAATCCAAATCGAATCGAAAAGGAGCTCTAAATCGAATAAAAAAAACAGTTCCATGACGGACTCCCGAGCGAAACCGACACGAGCGAGCCAACAATAATTTGGAAGGCAGGAAATAATAGGACATATCAAGAGAGGATTCAAAAACATAGTAAGCACCCAGATCTCCTGGGATCTCCTTCTTCCCAAAAATCAAATCCAGCACGTACACGACACGACCTGGTACCCACCAACAACCAAACCAAATCCAGATTCGAGATCGAGTCCAAAATAAAGGCCACCAACCATATATATAAATAAAAAGTCGAGCACAAAATCGACGACGGTCGGTATGATCTGGGCGACCGACGGCCATGACGCGGGATGGGGAGAGGGCGGCGTGGGCGACGCAGGGCGACGACGCCATGGCGATGTGAGGCGGGAAGACGACAACAGCGCGAGCGAGGCGTAGACGAGGCTGGCGCGGATCTGCGGGGAGGTGCTGAAGCAGGGCAGTAACGTCGGCCTTTAGTGCATTTTTCAAATAGCTCTCATTTTTAATTAATGCACTGTTTAGATTTTAAGTATATTATATCATGAATCAGACCGATCTTAATTTCCATGAAACAATAAATGAAAACATTAAGAGAGATTGCGTGCTGCTGCTCACGTGAAAGCGTTACAAGGATAGAACGGAGCAAGAATTGAGAGAGGAGCATGAAAGAGCGGTGATGTGATCAAGCATGATGATGCTAAGCTTTTCGGCTCTGTTCGGATGATACATAAGCCGGCTAAAGCTGTTTGTTGTGAGAGAAAAATATTGTAGATTCTAGCTGATAAGCCGGCTGATAAGTTCAAGCGATCAGGACCACTAGGTGAGTTTTCTAAGAACAAAAAACGTAAATATAGATTTGGTAAAAAAAAATTATTAGGTATAGATATACTATCATCGATGTTCCACCTCCACGTCTCATGTGTGACTCGGATTCATAACTCGTGCTCATACAACTTAGAGCAACTCACGTCTAATAATGTAACCATGCGCTGATCCAAGACGTATTAGGAACCTGCTTTTTTTAACAGTTAATCTGCCCTTGCATCTTTGTACTGAGGATCTAATTTTTTACTTATCAAATTGCCATCGCATCTTATACATCTTGTACGTGATATGATATGAACTTTATAACTCGTGCTTGTAGTAACGACAATATAAAGTCTGATTCCAAAACATATTGGGTCCTGTTGCAACGCAATAAATTATAAAAGCAAAAAATATTAGATATGTACCACTCACGTTATCGTTTTGCATGAATGTTTAGTATTTTTTTTTCTCCCGTTGCAACACACGGACATATTCGCTAGTCTAACTAAATGTAAAGTCAAAATAGGTGTCAGAAGGAGATTGAATTACAACAAAGCATTCCATCAAATCAGAAAGTAAAAGAGTCCTTACTATGAACAGTTCACCATCATGAGGGGTGCGAATACCATCACCACAACTTAATGTCTTCATTACTTTCAAATCTCCTGTAACATCAACTACTGGCTTTAATGAAACTGAACTCCACATCCATACTGACTGCAGAATTTGGTGGAACAGCAGAAAATTGGTTTTTAGCAGCTCTTCCCTGCTCCCCAAATGCATCTGTGTTCGACAACCCAAACCAATTTTGAATCCAAAACCAAACCTGTTTAGTATACGGACAGTCATTGCAAAATGTGTCTGTGTTTCAGGTTGTACTCTATACAGCTTGCAGATCAAACCGTTCGGCTACCCGCACTTGTTCAAGATTCTTTTTGTGTGGTAGAGTACACGTGAAGAAGAGACATTTTGCTGAGTAGTCAAGCAAAACTCTGGTTGAGTCACTCTGGAAGTAATGTAGCAACGATCATGTAAGGCTGATACTCTTGTGTTTGGTTACACCTTTGCACAAATTAATTATGTGTACAATAATTGTCATTCAACTTCTGAAATAATTGAGTTCTATGTGAAAATGTATGGACAATTTATTTGTGAAAACTTGTCACGAGGAGCACAAAGAGGACATTATGTGCGATTATGTGCAGGGTCGGTAAAGCATAAAAAATTGCTCAATATATACCTTACCTGGGCAAAACTCTATGATGTTGCTCAGCCCCTACGATTTGCTTTCAAAGTGAAAGAAAATTAGATACATTAGTGAGGCTCTTAGTGCTCTTAGCAAAGATCGCGATTATGTTTGAACAATTTAACACGATCGAACAGAAGCACGCAAATTTCATAAATCAATCCTACTATATGAAGAAAACAAATCCTATTATATGAAGAAAACAAGCCTGCACTGAAACTGAAATTAACATGTAAAAGGGGAACCCCAAGCTGTTCGGTACCAAAAGAAATCTATCTATGTTCCTGCATGTCAGATTACAAAGTAGTAGCACGGTTGAGCGCAGAATTCAGACATGCATCATCCACTTACGTCCTTAACTCCTAACTCCTAACTAATGACCCCCTAACCTATCAATCAAACACAGCAAGCTTCTGGTACTCCTCGCCGGCGATCGCTGCCTTCATGACGGCCTCCGAGTTCACCACGCCATCGTGCTCCAGGAAAAGCTTGACCAATTTCTTGGAGAAGCCGCTCACCATCGCGACTCCGGGCTGCGTTGACGTCACTGGCGTCGACTTTGAGTCCCTCAGGTTCCAGAACACGATCTGAGGCACCGCGTCGCCGTACCCGGCGTCATTGAACTTGCGGCAGATGGCCTGGTAGTCCGTCTCCCAAGGACTAGCAGACGCCTCGTCGAACTCCATGTCACTGAACACGAAGACGGTCCTGATCATCTTCTCCTTGGGCAGCCGACCGTCCACTGCCATGCGTAGGATGCGGTCGAAGACCGCCTGGAAGTTGGTGTTCATGTCCCAGTCCATGCGCTTGATGAAGCTCAACTTCTGGACGAGGGTCATGCCCTCAATCTTGTGGATCTGGGGAGTCTCGCTGAACGTGATCACCCTGCCCGCCCATGGCTTCTCGCTGAGCTCAGAGATGAGCAGACCCAGCGCCACGCACACCGCCATCGGCGTGCCGTGCATGCTCCCGGAAACGTCGCAGACGGCGATGCAGTTGCTTAGAGACCCCTTCTTGCGGAGGTCCTCCACCATGCGGCGCCACTGCAGCTCCGACACGTCGTCGGCCTCGCCACCAAACGCAGCAGCGGCGATCTCGTGGGGCAGGAGCGCGCCAGCCGCGATCTTGGCCTTGCCAGCCTCAACGTCCTCGAGGTACTTGTCGAAGCGCGCTTCGTCGTGCTTCTTGAACAGGGCCTTGTAGCGCCTCATGGCCACCGACGCCACGCGGGTGTAGGGCAGCTCGGACCACCGCTGGGCGCTCATGTACACCTCCGGGAGCTCCAGGACCTTCCGCAACGGCACAAGCACCTCGTGGCGGAGACGGTGGAGCACTCGGTAGGCGTAGCACTCCTCTGACAGGTCAGAGTAGTCGGGGCTGGAGTCGCGCGGGAAGAGGCGGCGCGCGATGGCCTCGCAGAGCAGCGTCGTCCGGTCGAACGACGAGCCTGGCGTGGGGCACCACTTGGCGGCGAGCCCGATCTTCGTCTTCCTGCCACCAGATGCTAGCTGCTCGACGTCGGAGGCGAGGAGGTCGGCGAAGAACTGGGCGACGCAGTCGAAGAGGAAGCGGTAGGCGCCATTGCCGTAGTACGTCTCCAGCGATTGCACGGCGAGCTTGGCCACCTTCCGCACATCCTTCGTCACGGGGATCTCCTTCGCGGCCGCCGCATCTATCGCCTCCGGTTTGTTCTCCACGGCCGCCTCCTCTGTCTCCATAGGCGCCGCGGCAGGAACCATGGCTCCCGACTCGCTGCTCGCGCGCTTCTTTCCGGCCAGCCTGGCGGCGCGGACCTCCGCGACCTTGCGTCCGATCTTCTGGGTTTCCGCCTTGGCCTTGTAGAGCTTGCGTGTGTCGGCGCCGTGGATGAGACGGTAGAGTAGCTCGGGGAAGTCCTTGAGGTAGCCGAATTCGGCGAGCGCGGGAAGGTTACAGGCGAGAGTCTTGGGATGGCGCTCGTGCATCCAGAGCGCGGCGGCGTAGAAGCCCTCCCTGTCGGACTTGCCCGTGCCGCGCACGCCGCGGAGGTTCGCAATGAGCTTGAGCGCGGTGAGCGGGTCGTGTGCCCACGCAATGGTGACGAGCTCGCGCACGCGCTGCGCCGGCGTGTCGGGGACGACCTGGAAGAAGAGGTCGAGGCAGGGGTTGCCGGAACTCGCGTAGGTGGCCGAGTTGTTCTCCGTCCGCGCCATGCGAGGCCCCTTGACGCCGTTGGCGGCATCAGAACCGGCTGGAGGGTCCTCGTTGTTGAAGCAGGCGTCGAGGAGGTCGAGGAACGGGTGGGAAGCGGGGGCCTCCGCAGCTGTGGCAGGCGGTGGTGGCGGGCGTGCCCCGCGGATGACGGGAGGGCCGAGGAGGACGGCGGCCATGGCGTGAACGATCCGGGGCGTGTTCGGCTGGCTTGTTCTGCTCCTCACGAAACCACTGTTTACGTCGTGTCAGAACAGTATTTTTCTCTCGTAATCATCAGCTGGAATAGTATTTTTTAGTCCTGCCCCGATTGGTCCGAATCTGATCTGTTTCTGTTTCTGCTAGGATTTAGTATGGGAAGAAGAAGCTAGCAAAGGAAGGCGGCCTTGCGCCGTACGACGTGGCCCACCAGAACCGGTAGGCGCAAGGCCAGTTTAGTCGGTGGGGTAGCGTGCATCGTGACCGTTGATTGAACCGACGTAACCAGCAGAGGGTTCAGATTCATTACCTGGCGGCACAAGCCAGCAAGCGATTAGGAAACCGCCACCGCCTTCCCAGGCCGACCTCCAGGCTCCCCCCGATGAATTCCAGCCTGTTCGGGAGGCCGTATCGTATCGTGGATTATTTACTGCTAGCTAGTTTGGTGTGAGAGAAAAACACTGTTCCCGGCTAAAAATTTACGATCGTTTACGAGAAAGCAAACATGCTGAAATCTTCGTCGTCGTCCCAGCAAAATCCGCGCACGCACCAATCTCGTCTCATCTCCTCTTCAATTCATCTCACGTACCCAAAACACCTCGAGGGCCGCCTCCGCCTCCGCCTCCGCCATGGCCCCGCCCACCTCCGCAGCGCTCCTCGGCCCTCCCGTGGCCGCCCTCAACACCAACATCGCTGCTGCTGCAGATTCCCGGGACTCCGATTACTCATCCGTGGCGCCGTACGGCGGCGTGGCCAAGGAGGCGTCGCGGTCTGGTCGGGCGCTGGCCTACGCCTCGTCCGGCGACCCGTGCGTCGACTTCTTCTTCCAGATCGTCCCTGGCGCCACCTCGGCCGCTGACGTGGCGGCACTCCTCGACGTCGCCTGGTCCCGGGACGCGCGCACCGCGCTCAGGCTCGTCTGCCACCTCCGCGGCGTGCGCGGCCTGGGCAAGGGCGACAGGGAGGGCTTCTACGCCGCCGCGCTCTGGATGCACGCGCGCCATCCCAAGACGCTCGCCGGGAACCTGGCCATCTTCGCCAGGTTCGGCTGCCTCAAGGACCTGCCCGAGATCCTCTACCGCGTACTCCACGGCGACCGCAAGGGCGAAGACGGCGACCGTCGCAAGCAGCAGAACGTACACCGCCACGGCATGAAGCGCCGGCGCAGCGACCGCGAGTTTCAGGCTGCCAAGGAGACGAAGCGCCAGGAGGAGGCGCAGCTCGCGCGGTCGGCGCTCTCGCGCTACGAGTCCGACGAGGCTTTCCGCTTCCTCTACGATGGCGTGGCTGAGATGTTCGCCGAGATGCTGAAGTCCGACGTCGAGCACCTGCGCGTGGGCGACACCACCAAGATCGGGCTCGCGGCCAAGTGGTGCCCGTCGCTCCGCTCGTCCTACGACCGTGCGACCCTGCTCTGCGAGGCCATAGCCCGCCGCATATTCCCGCGCGAGTCCAGCCAGGAGTACCTCAACATCTCGGACAAGCACTATGCCTACCGCGTCCGTGACCGGCTCCGCCGCGAGGTGCTGGTGCCGCTGCGCAAGGCCCTGGAGCTCCCGGAGGTGTACATGTGCGCGTGCAAGTTTGAAGAGCTGCCGTACGCGCGGGTGGCGTCCTTGGCGATGAACAAGTACAAGGGGGTGTTCCAGAAGCACGACAAGCACCGCGTGGCCGGCTTCTTCGACGAGGTGCGCACCGGTCGCGCCAGGATGCCGGCGGACGCGGTGCTGCCACACGAGTTGATCGCCGCAGCGCTTAAGGGGGAGCACGACGAGGCTGCCGAGCTCCAGTGGCGTCGCATGGCGGCCTCTCTAGCCGCTGAGGGGCGCCTGGCCAACTGCATCGCGGTGTGCGGGCTCTCCGGCGCCACCTTGGCCGCCACGGACACAGCGGCCTCTGCAGCCATCGCACTGGGGCTCCTCATCTCTGAGCTGAGCCAGGAGCCGTGGAAGGGGCGCGTGATCACCTTCAACGAGACGCACCAGCTGCACAAGGTGCTCGGCACGAGCCTCAAGGAGAAGCTGCGGCCGCTGGTGGAGTCCATGGGGAAGCATAAGAAGGGTGCGAATTTGCAGGGCGTGTTTAGCAAGATCCTGCAGCTGGCGGTGGCCGGCGGGCTGTGCAGGGACATGATGGTGAAGAGGGTGTTTGTGCTGAGCGACATGGACTTCGACGGGTGGACGGGCACCGCGTCCCTGTGGAAGACAGAGTACCAGGGCATCTGCGAAAAGTTCGCAGCTGAGGGGTTCACGGCGCCGCAGGTGGTGTTCTGGAACGTGGGGACCTCCAAGGCCTCCACGCCGGTGGTGGCAGCGCAAGAGGGCACGGCCCTGGTGAGCGGCTACTCCAAGAACCTGGTGAGACTCTTCCTGGAGGCGGATGGCGAGCTAACGCCGGCTGCCGTCGTGGCAGATGCCATCTCTGGCCCGGAGTATGAGGCGTTAGAGGTGTTCGACTAAGGTTTTTTTTCGTGCGCATGTGTTCCTGATCGACTGCTGTTGGCGACATAGTGAAGAAAACTCTCAAATAAAAGCTTAGGGTCTTCTGGTAGAACCACATACTCGTAGTCTCAGCATATGGTATTCCGATATGGCATAATTTGAATCGTGGAAACGATGCTTGAATAAAGTTTTATCATCTTCGATTTGCTCTATAAATTTGTTTAGTTTGCAATCACTGAAACTAATTTGTATTTTGTACAGTACTAGGCATTGCTGTTCTATGCAATGCATGGTACTGAATGCTGGTTTTGTTGAATCTAGTAATTATTAGGATAATATACATGTTGGTTAATAGGTTGAGTGAGGTAGACTGCAACACTAGTATCTTCACAGATATAAAACAAAAAAATACAAAAGATACGGAGCAAAAAGTTAAATGTTACTTACATGACATGTGTAGTATTTATTGATATGCTACTCCCATCCCAGATAATTATGGAAATAATCTCAAGCGTCAGCGTGGACTGAGTTAATGCAGCTCCTTTTTAATACAGATCTATTCAGTGAGACATACATTGTGATTGCAATATCACAACAGCTCTCCTTCATTGTTTTCAGGACCTTAGGTAGTGTTGGACAGACGTGTCCTGAGGCAGAAATCATCGTAGTTTCTATATACGTTCAGTCTATTCAGTCTATTCGCTTGCCTCGTAAACGATCGTAAATTTCCAGCCGAGAACAGTGTTTTTCTCTCACACCAAACCAGCCGGCAATAAATAATCCACGATACGATATGGCCTTCCAAACAGGCTGATTAATTATACTATCACCTAAGCGTTTTGTTGATATGGCAAGATAGTTATTGAAGAGAGAGAGTAAAAATCATAGAAAATGGGTCTAAATTACAAAACATGTCTACACGAGAATCAGGACATGAAGGGGTGTGATTGGTAGAGAATGGAAAGAGAATGTATGTGATTGGATAAAAAATTGTTTTGTAGAAACTATCCATTGGGATCATGGTTTCTATATATAGTGTCTATAGAAATTAATAGGTATACAAACTACATGTAGTTTTTAGCATTGGGGCTGCCGTGAAAGACCACAAAATTGATTCAATCTCTCACAGCCACATCATTGAAACATATTTCCCATCCAAGAACATTATGAATGTTACACAAGAACATTATGAATGTTACAGAGAAGAGTTCCATAACAATTAATCATTTGAATCTGTTATGGTGCAATTACCTTGATTAACAAAGAATGTTCATCCTTCTTCTGGAGATTCCTCAACTATCAACTCATCAAGTAGCTTGACTTTGTACTTGACTATATAAATACATGAACAACCGTCATAAAAGATTACAGGATACCAGTTAAGCATTGGTATTCAAATACAAGAAACAGTGAGGAGTAAGACTATTAGATCCCCTGTTTGCCTGTTCCCTCCAGACAAAACTTTCTTTACAATTCCACCATTTCTATATATATCCACCACTGCTAACCATGTGTTGGCACGAAAATGCGTCGACACACAACAAACCGGAAGGATCTGCTTGACGGAGCAAGACTGGAGATCCGATTGGCTTCAACGCAGGACCAGTCGACCCTGCGAATTCCTCCCGAGGGCGTGCCAGTCTGCAATTGACAAGGAGAGAAAGTTTATCAGTAATTTAAGGTAGAACATGCCGGTTTTTGCCCAGACAGTTCCAAGTATGCCGCTTCGGGAGTAGCCAGTGTTAGCCCACTGGATCACGGAGATATCCGACCACTCACTAATGTTATCGAGCACGCACTAGTGATGCTGACCACGAACCATCGTTATTTTACCTCTAGTCATAGTATGTGGTCGGACAATGTTAGACGTGGTCGACAACGCTGGTGAGTGCTCGGCGATCCAGTGGGCCAACAGCCAGACGGGAAAATCGATCAAATAAACCGATACGAGAAGAAAATCAGCTGTTAAGAACTATAACGCTCGTGGGTTGTGACTGATTTTATAATAACAATTACGATGTACCCAATTTTAATGATTCTTTCCCTTGAGCTATTAACATGTATGTGTCAGAGATACATCACTGGCTAAATTAAATTCGATTAATACGTAGTGTAGAGCCAATAAATTTAATAAGAAAAAGGGATATGCTACGCACACAATCGACTGTTTGATACAGACAGATCCACAAATCATTTAGACCTAATCCATTACCATAAACAGTGAGATTCAACCGGATCGATGCAGCTATGATGATAACAACAAACTAGATCTAAAGAATTTATAGAATCGACCATACATCAACAGGTTCATGAGAGCGTGTCATATCTGTGAAAGCGCAGACGAATTGGCTAAAAGAGCCGATTCGGGTAGAAAATGGATCATAGCATGTGAACAATAGACTATTCAACACGAACAGACCTATCAACTCCTCAAATCTAATCTATCATCTTTAACAGTGGGATTCGACCGGATCGATGCAGCAATAATAAAGATAACAGATTATATCCTTAAAGAAAACAGATCTACTCATATTTAACAG